AGAAGGCTGGAATGGAGGGCGGGGGGTAGGGGTAGCAACGCCCAGGGCCAACACATAAATAAAGCAACTGACAGACAAAACAATTATTCAAACATCCTAATATTCTTTTCCTCCAGGGTCACATTACCTGCACTGTCAGGTATGACCTCTGCTTCTCCTTCTATGAAACAGCTTCTGCGTAAGTACTAGTGACCATTGCAAAAAAGTAATTCATAGCGGCACGAACTCCGGCAATCAAATATCCACGGAGCTCTTACAGGGTCACGATGTTTATGTTTCACTTTCTCAAGTTTTCCCAACATCACGTACCCATCAGCTCGTGGTTGTGCCACACGCACTACACAGTGTCCCACAAGTCCACGTCGTACTCATGCAGGCCAGGCACCCTTTCTGCCTGACCCGGGAGACCGGGAGGATTCAGGACAGCTGTCACCAATATGAAAAGGAAAAGCGACCACCCACACCCAAACAGGCTGGTCCTTGCCTTGCCCCGGGAAGGCTAGAAAAAGAACAGGCTGGGCCGCAGATAACTCCACTCCGGAGTAAGTGGAGTCTGTATTTCAAATGACAGGCCTTAGGGCTTCATTTAAAAAAGCTAACCTTCGATATGATTGCTCTGGCCTCTTCTATTGTCTTCTTTAACACTTCCTTCATCTTTTCATTTGGAGCTGTGGAAATAGAACCGGGAAGAGGGAGAGAAAGAGCTATCTTTAAAGGTCTTCTTGGGGAGGGGCGAGGGAAAAACTAGCGAACAAAACCAAAACAAACAAACCCCCAAAAACCCTTAGATGTCCTAATCCCTCCTGGCCAAGTCAGGGAGCAAGGACCTGAGAGGAGGACACTCGTGGAATTCAGGTGAGGGACACAGGGAAGCTGGCTGCGAGAAGCTAGGAAGGCTCTCAAAGCTTTGCTTTATTTATTTATTTTTTTTGTTTCTTTATTTTTGAGTGAGAGAGAGAAAGATTGTGCGCAAGCGACGGAGAGGCAGAGAGAAAGGGAGACAGGATCGGAAGCGGGCTCTGCGCTGTTAGCAGAGGGGCTAACGTGGAGCTGGAACTCATGACCCATAAGATCATGACCTGAGCCGAAGTCGGAGGCTTAACTGACTGAGCCACCCAGGAGCCCCACAGAGCTTCAACTTCTTAATAAATAAAAGTATGAATTAAGACACTGAAAACGCTAGAAACATAAAGTTGTGTTAGAATAGAAATGGTTAATTTAAGATAATATTGGTTTAAAGGTGAATAATGAACCATTAACTGGTTCTCAGGACACACTATTATTTTTCTTCAGTGATGCAATTCCTTCTAAAAAGCACAAATATCTTCGGACGTCTGGGTGGCTCAGTCGGTTAAGTGTCTGACTCTTGATTTCGGCTCAGGTCATGATCCCAGGGTCGTGGGATCGAGCCCCAAATCAAGGCTCTGTGCTGACAGCACGGATCCTGCTCGGGATTCTCTCTCTCCTTCTCTCTGCTCCTCCCCCTGCTTAACGCTTTCTCTCTCAAAGTAAATAAACATTAAAAAAAAAAAAACAAAAAGCAAACACATCTCTCCAAATTGACAATGAGTTTACATTATGAAAATCTGTGGAAGACAGCCAACCATTTTCCAGGCTAAAACCCACCCGAAATAACACTAAAAATTCCTATCATCTTCACTATTTTTTTTACAAAAATATTTTTTGAGCCTGTCAAGTCCTTGGAGGGACACTTTTGTATTTCTTTCACTCCTCACAGTGTTCTAGCACAGTAGACGCGTAGGTGCGTAGGTGTTTGTTAAACGATCAATTACGGTCTTTTAAACGGGGCCTTTTACTCAGGTTAAAAGGGATAAGCCATCAAAATGGACTCCCGTCTTTTTTTCCTTGAAATTCCACATGATCAACCACACACTAAAGGGGGAATGATTTCAGAATGCTGACGTGGACTAAGACGTTTTACACCACAGAGGGCCGTGCCCTCGATTCAAGGGGAGACCATGTGCCGACACTCATCGCCTCTGTTCACACAGAATCTCTAGCCAAACCCTAGTAGCTGCAAACTGTAACAGAACAGAACCCTCAATACGTTGTCAATGATTGCCCCCCAAAACTATTCGGTCGAACCGTATTCAATTTTCACCATCTGTTACCTACAAAACTGGCAGCTTCAGGTGGTTCATCTGATGTAAAAGCTCGCAGCACCTTAGTAAAGAAAGAGCAAGAAGACAGATGCTTCCTCGACCTACCCGATTCATTCTGGATTTGCACGGTACCACGGGAGTCGGTTACACGGTGCAGTATTTCATATGTTTGTACAGAAAACTGAGGTCTGTGTTTTTTGTTTTTTTTTTTAATTTTTTTTTTTAATGTTTATTTTATTAGAGTGAGAGAGATAGAGCATGAGCAGGAGCAGGGCAGAGAGAGAGGGAGACACAGAATCTGAAGCAGGATCCAGGCTCTGAGCTGTCAGCACAAAGCCGACGCGGGGCTCAAACCCATGAACCATGAGATCATGACCTGAGCCGAAGTTGGACGCTTAACCAACTGAGCCACCCAGGTGCCCCCCGAGGTCCGTGTTTTCACGTGAAACTGCCACCTGCATACTTCCTGCTATGCTCGCGCGTGCACACAGAAGACACAAGCTGGATTACCTTGCCCATTCCTTCGGCCGATGTCATCCTTTTTAAATACCGAGCCCCCACTGGGTACACACTTTTCACCCCATTCATCCCTTAATTTCAATTCTTCAATCTGGTCATCAGTCAGTCCTTGCATATTAGGAGGGAGAAATATGCCATGTGCTGCCAATTCTTCCATTTCTTAAAAATAAGAGAAAGTTACACAATATACATCACAATTATCATCACAACACCTTACACCTCAGTGAAATGTAGGCTCCCTGGGGGTCAGGGGTCTTGCCCAGCGGCTCCCTATTTTATTTAGCAAATGCTTAGATACCACTTGGTTTGGGCCAGGCCTGTCCTTGACCTTTGACACACGGTCGCCCATTTGTCCTAGGTCAGCAGCGGCACCGAGTTTAGGAGCTCACCGTGGTCGCGGGCAGCAGGGGCTGCAGGCTCTGTGCGCGAATCCTCTGCTGGGCTGTACCTTCTGGGACTCAGGGGGCACAAGTTAAAATTCACTGACGGTCTGAATACATATCCACCAAGGGCGTTACAATTTCCGAGCGTGTTCACATAGATTATCGCATTTCGCCTTGTGAAGCAGGCAAGAGAATCCTCCACATCCTGGTCTTCCCTCATTTACAGCCCTGTCACCTGAGGCTTGCAACTTTAGAGACACACTTTCTAAATAATTTGTGTAAATCTGGTCAGTGGAGAGGATTTCAGGCAATTCACACCCTTCCAAAGAGGCAGAGATGGGACTAGACTTTGGTGTTCTGGTATCATGTTCACTATGCAAAAGTGTGGCTTTGTATTTTTCCAATCCCATATATATCCACCCCAAAACTAACCCACACTTTAACCTTGCAAAATCACTTGCCCTTCCTTCCTCCCTCACTCCCTCCTAGTTTCCATAGCACTGTAGGAAGACACCAGGTGGCTTGTAATAATACAACACTACGAAACAAAGGGTGTAACTTAATGGGGTCTTTATTGTCTCTCTCCCTACCAGACACTAAACATCTGGGGGCCAGGGGCTGGTCTCCTTCACTCTGGTCTCTGGCAGGCAGAGCCCTGGGGCCTGCCTGAATCACAGTGGACAATGGGAGCTACAGAATAAATGAGTGAGCCACTAGCACGACTCGTAATATTTAGCAGCACATTTTCAATTGATAATTTTATAGAAAAAGAAGTTGGAGTCACTTTTCTCCCCAAATGTTTTTTTTTTT